TTTTGAAGGAGAGAGATGGCAGGAGCTTGGGGGAGGTGCAGAGGGAGAAGCACACTCCCCCTCTGAGTAGCAGGGCTGGAACAAGATCTCATGATATGATCACGCCAAAGGCAGAAGCTTATCCAACTGAGTCATCCAGATGCCCCTAAATTTTTTATTTCAAAATAATTATATGGAAAATTGACTCGTTTTGGTATACTGAGCTGTGAATTTGAATTTTGATACATATTATAAGTCCTATAACCATTAGAGTAGCATATACAGTCCAGGTTCATTTCTCCCCAAAACTCCTGTGTTCCTTTCCTTTGCCTTGACACGTGTGCTTCCATATTCCCAACCAAACAATAGTTTATTCTTATTTTTGTGATTTTAGGAATGTCATATTGATGGGAGCCTACAACATATAGAGTTATGAGAACTATGTGTCTTGGTGGGAGGAACCACATGCCACAGGGCACACGCATGATCTCTACCTCTGTCTCATTGTTTCTTACCCTTGATGATTGGAAGCTACTTTCATAGGAATGGCTCATTATTTCAAGTGTTTAAATTCCTTGAGAGACTTGATTTATATAGTTCTACAAAGTATATTTGGCATTTGGTAATGCAGAGGTGGTGTTGAAATTTGGATCAACTCATATAATCAAGCTGAGGTATGTTCTGTACACAAGCTTCATTGCACAGATATCATCCTAAATTGTTATCAATAGATACCTTCTGACATTTTAAGGGTAATTTAATTGATGAAGATTCACTCTAATCACTACCAATTAGGGTTGGTGATTATCTGGCTTCTGCAGGAGTTGATATGGAATAGCATATCTAATAATCGTTCAACTTTGTTGCACTAGCAATGTCTGTGCAGAGCTGAGCTATAGCACTAGGGTGAGTATTGTGTCAATAAAAGGCCATACCCATGCAAGTTATTTTATTAGTGAGAGAACAATTCAGAGTAATCGGAAATACCTAACATTTTACCATTAGAGTGGGAAATCATTTCTCAAGGATAAAAATTACCTCAAAAGAGTGCAAAGGAAAATATTGCAACCAGTGGCACCAAACACCTAGATTAATTCTCTTCTAATGGCCTTGGATGGGACTGTCTGCTTCATGCAATTACATGTTTCTTTCTAGGATATTGCATGTGCTCTCACCTGTGGAATGCCCACTTCTGCTGAATTTCTGGAGGACTTCAGTTTAGGATCTCTAATATGAGAAACTTTTTCAATTCTTGTCAATAAAGGATGTAGGATATCAATTAGTTGATGTAACCAAGGATCCATTTCTTGTACTTTATCTACCTAACTGGTAATAAAATGTAGATATAAGGTCAATTCGCAAGTCTCAATGGCAATCTTTTCCTGAGGTTGTTCAGAGCACCAAAGGTTTAGGTCAAGTAAAGGTGGTTAAATGAATGGGCAGAGGCAATCTGTGTCTAGGACGAAAGGAAGAGTGTCAAGAGCTTACTTACTTAGTTCAATATGCGAAGATTGGAATACATATGATGTGGCACATTCTGAGTTATGTGGGCCAAAGTGAGCAGTTCATAGTGAGACAGCCTCAGACATTGTAAGGGAAAGACACAGGCCACAAAGGCTAAGGTGGTCGTAGGCCACAGTAGTTGAAGGGTAACTGCTATAATTATTCATTTCAGTGTAATATTCCATTCGTTGTTTCTACTTTTCCAGAGGATTGGGGTGTGACAGGAGAAATGAAATTTCTGTGTGAGGGCTAACCTTACCTAACTGTCCCAGAGAAATTTGTTCTGCTATCTCGGGACTAACTGAAATTGCATAGGCAGTAAACACAGAATCCAGGTGATAGTTAACTCTTGTGATTGCTGTGGTTTTCTGACAGGAGAGTGGTCCAATCCATGTAGAAAAGAAAATACTCGTATCAGTCCATACTCATAGGTCATGGAGGGTATAGCGTTGTGGAAGATCCCTTTGGAGATACTCAAATGTTTCCTTGGGACAGTATTCCGGACCATTATCCATCTTTCCAGATTTTGGGGTTTTGTTGAGTCCCAGAAGGCATGAATAGCCTCACTGTCTGCCATCCTAGGAAAGTCTCCCCACTAGTGTTAGTTTAATGTGCATCCCCAGTGTGATGTGTTATCTCTGGTGGATTGCAGCAACTGGTCATCAGAGATCATTTGGCTGCACCAGGCAGCTATCTTGGCTTACATAGCTTGGTTTCATGGATCATCAAATCAATCACTCCTAGTGATTCTTTACAGAATTTAGTGCCAACTTTTCTTCAACTATGATGGTCTATTTTACTTTTTCCATGGTTTTGTCTTTATGGGCTTTTTAAAAGATTTTATTTATTCATGAGATGCAAAGAGGGGCAACACATAAGCAGAGGGAGAAGCTGGTTTCCTGAGAGAAGCCTGATGCGGGACTGATCCCAGGATCCTGGGATCATGACCTGAGCCAAAGGCAGACTCTTTTACACAGATCCACCAGGTTCCCCTTTCTCTTACTTTATGTTTTTAAAGAGGTACTTACATAAGGACCTTAGTGGGAAATTTTTGTTTTGGATATTGACATGCTTAAGCATCTTAAAAATTATTTTTATGAAATATTTTAAAAATTTCATTGAATACATCAAATGATTTGTGTTTTTGCTGTGCATTTCTACTAGGATGCAGGAGATACATAAAGTGGTTAAGAAGAGTTAGGAAGTTAAGAAACCACGTTGTCCTTATAGCATTTGGAAGATGTGACCTATATTAAAAACATATTGAGGGGATCCCTGGGTGGCTCAGAGGTTTGGCGCCTGCCTTTGGCTCAGGGCGCGATCCTGGAGTCCCGGGATCGAGTCCCGCGTCGGGCTCCCTGCATGGAGCCTGCTTCTCCCTCTGCCTGTGTCTCTGCCTCTCTCTCTCTCTCTCTCTCTCTCTCTCTCTCTCTCTATCATGAATAAATAAATAAATAAATCTTAAAAAAACATATTGACTGACACTGACTACTTGATATTTTGTAAATTGACATAGTCAAGATGTATTCCTTAGTTTGGCTACTTCGATTAATGTTGCTTCTGCTGAGGGATTGTGATTTATAACGGAATCTAGAGTAGGATAGTGTCTCTTGCCATGTGTAGGGTGTCTAGCCAACGTGTCCCCATTTCAGGCCCTGTCCACCAGGGGGTGCAGCTTCCTAGCCCAAACTCATTTCCTGTGTGAATGGAGGGCTTCCACTGATCATTTCTCTCTCACTCCAGCGTTTCCTCACGTTACGAATAAAGAAGATTATTTGGGTGTCACTCCAGAGATGAAGTGTTCTCCAGGTTTCATGATTGTCCTACTCTCAGTGCTTGGTAAGTGCAATGCCTCTTAAAATTTGGATTCTTTTCTTCCATTGTGTCAGCAAAACCTTTAACTAATTTTATCCAAGAGCTTCATGCCCAAGGTGACACAGATCTCTTTCCTTTTTTCCTAGGACAAACCCACGGAAACTCAGTGACCCAGATGGGAGGCCAGGTGACCCTTTCAGAAGAGGCTTTCCTGACAGTGAACTGTAATTATTCAGCATCAGGGTACCCTGCCCTTTTCTGGTATGTTCAGTATCTGGGAGAAGGTCCACAGCTCCTCCTGAAAGCCTTGACAGACAAGGAAAAGGGAAGCAACAAAGGTTTTGAAGCCACCTATGACAGTTCATCCAGATCCTTCCACTTGAAGAAAAGCTCAGTGCAAATATCAGACTCAGCTGTGTACTACTGTGCCCTGAGTGACACAGTGATAGGGACTGCAGGGGGAGCTGGGTGCAAACTCTGAGCAGAGCAGGGGCCTGGATGCTGAGCCTCTCTGACTGATCCACTCTGGTTCCAGCACAGTCTGTGGTTGTTTGTCTCTCAGTATCTGGTTGATGCAAAAATCATATAAACAGCTATAGCATAGGAACCAAAGTAGCACTGCCCACCCAGCTGTTCATTTGTGACATTAACAATAGTTTGATGACAAGAGTTCCTCAGTCAGGGGGTCAGCAATTTCAAGGTAAAATCACATAACAATGAAGTGGTCTCTTGCTCATCCTTGTTGTGAATGTCCAGTCTCACAAGTTGTTCAGGCCACTCTGGTGGGTATCACTGTGCCTTATGACACTTTTCCAGAGACACAGTGTGCCTGAGAAGTTAACAGCTGCCCAGTGTTTCACAGAGTATGGCAGGAAGTGTGATGGGAGAGCTAGAGCTCCCAAACCAGGTCCTGTTTTTATTTTTATGTTTTTAATGATTTTATTTATTCATGAGAGACACACAGAAAGAGGCAGAGAGACACAAGCAGAGGGAGAAGCAGGCTCCCCACAGGAAGCCCGATGTGGGATTTGATCCCAGGACCCTGGGATCATGCCCTGAGCCGAAGGCAGATGCTCAACCACTGAGCCACCCAGGTGTCCCCCAAACCAGGTTTTAGTAGAGAAAGAAGGTAAGGGCAGAATGCAGGAGGAACACATATACCCAAGCAATGAAAATGAGAGGCCATGGACCTTTGCCCTGCTTTCTTTTGTAGGAAACCAGGTAATAGACATAGTCTGATATTCAAAATGAAGAGGTGGGAGCAGAAACAGAATGAAGGAAGTGGCTTATGTCCTGGCCAGGACATAATGCATGTGAAATATATACTATAAATAATTCAAAGGATATATATTAAGAATTTTTCTCCGACATTTGGGTAAAATGGTAGACTAAGGGTGCCTGGCTGGCTCAGTCAATAGAACTGAAATTCTTAATCTCGGGTTTGTAAATTCCAGTCCCTTGGTGGGTAATGAGATTACTTGAAGTAAAATCTTTAAAAATATCTACGGGAGATTAATGCTTATCTATTGATTTGTTTAAAACTCTATTAAAAATGCCACTGATTTCTGTGCATTGATTTTGTATCCTGCCACATAGCCGAATTGCTGTATGAGTTCTAGCAATCTTGGGGTGGAGTTTTTTGGGTTTTCTAAGTACAGTATCACGTCATCTGCAAAGAGAGAGAGTTTGACTTCTTCTTTGCCAATTGGAATGCCTTTTATTTCTTATTGTTGTCTGATTGCTGAGGCTAGGACTTGTAGTACTCTGTTGAATAACGGTGGTGAGGGCAGACATCCCTGTCGTGTTCCTTATCTTAGGGGAAAGGCTCCCAGTGTTTCCCCATTGAGAATGATATTTGCTGTGGGCTTTTCATAGATGGCTTTTAAGATACTGAGGAATATTTGCTCTATCCCTACCTGTGAAAAGTTTGGATCAGGAATGGATGCTGTATTTTGTCAAATGCTTTCTCTGCATCTATTGGGAGGACCATATGGTTCTTGTTTTTTCTCTTGTTGATATGATCAATTACATTGATTGCTTTATGAGTGTTGAACCCTCTTTGCATCCTGGGGATAAATCCCACTTGGTCATGGTGAATGATTTTCTTAATGTACTGTTGGGTCCTATTGGCTAGTATCTTGTTGAGAATTTTTGCATCTGTGTTCATCAGGGATATTGGTGTATAATTCTGCTTTTTGGTGGGGTCTTTGTCTGGTTTTGAAATCAAGGTGATTCTGGCCTCATAAAATGAGTTTGGAAGTTTTCCATCCTTTGGAACAGCTTTAGTAGAATAGGTATTATTTCTTCTTTAAACGTTTGATAGAATTCTCCTGGGAAGGCATCTGACCCTGGACTTTTGTGTCTTGTGTGGTTTTGATGACGGTTCAATTTCCTCGCTGGTTATTCGACTGTTCAGATTTCCTATTTCTTCCTGTTCCAGCTTTTGTAATTTCTGGTTTCCCGAAATGCATCCTTTTCTTCTAGATTGCCTAATTTATTGCATATAGCTGCTCATACATTTAAAAAATCATTTCTGTTTCCTTTTTATTGGTTGTGATTTCTCCTCTTTCATTCATAACTTTATTAATTTGAGTCTTTTTTCTTTTTAATAAGGTTGGCTCATGGTTTATCTATCTTATTAATTCTTTCAAAGAACCAACTCCTGGTTTTGTTGATCTGTCTACAGGTCTTTGGGTCTGTATTTCACTGAGTTCTGTTTGAATCTTTATTATCTCTCTTCTTCTGCTTAGTGTAGGTTTTATTTGCTGTTCATTCTCCACTTCCTTTAGGTGTGAGGTTAGCTTGTGTACTTGAGTTTTTTTCCAAATTTTTGAGGGATGCTTGTATTGTGATGTATTTCCCACTTAGGGCCACTTTTGCTGTATACCAAAGATTTTGAATGGTTGCATCTTCATTTTCATTAGTTTCCATGAATCTTTTTAATTCTTCTCTAATTTCCTTGTTGACCCATTCATCTTTCAGTAGGATGCACTTTAACCTCCACGTGTTTGAGTTTCATATTCTAACATAGAGACTGAAGAAAGAGAAATTAAGGAGTGAATCCCATTTACTTTATGCACCCAAAAGCATAAGATAACTACGAATACACCTAACCAAAGAGGTAAAGGATCTATACCCTAAAAACTACAAAACACTTCGGAAAGAAGTGGAGGAAGACAGAAGAGATGGAAAAATATTCCATGCTCATTGATTGGAGGAATTAATATTATGAAAATGTCTATGCTTCCCAGGGCAATTGACATGTTCAATGCAATCCCTATCAAAATAACATGGACAAAAAAAACAAAAACAAACAAACAAACAAAAAAAAAACAAAATAGCATGGACATCCTTCACAGAGTTGGAACAAATAATCTTAAGATTTGTGTGGAATCAGAAAAGACCCCGAATAGTCAGGGGAATATTGAAAAAGAAAACCAGAGCTGGGGGCATCACAATGCCGGATTTCAAGTTGTACTACAAAGCTGTGGTCATCAAGACAGTGTGGTACTGGCACAAAACCAGACACACAGATCACTGGAACAGAATAGGGAACCCAGAAATGTGCCCTCAACTCTATGGTCAATTAATATTCAACAGAACAGGAAAGACTATCCACTGGAAAAAGGACAGTCTCTTCAATAAATGGTGCTGGGAATCTTGGACAGCCGCATGCGAAGAATGAAACTAGACCATTCTCTTACACCAGGCACAAAGATCAACTCAAAATGGATGAAAGATCTAAATGTGAGACAAGAATCCATGAAACTCCTAGAGGAGAACACAGGCAACAAACACCCTTTTTGAACTTGGCTGTGGCCAACTTCTTGCAAGATACATGTATGAAGGCAAGGGAAACAAAAGCAAAGATGAACTATTGGGACTTCATCAAGATACAAAGCTTCTGCACAGCAAAAGAAACAGTCAACAAAACTAAAGACAACCTACAGAATGCAGAAGATATTTGCAAATGACATGTCAGATAGAGGGCTAGTATCCAAGCTCTGTAAAGAACTTATTAAACCAATACCAAAGAAACAAAGAATCCAATCATGAAATGGGCAAAAGACATGAACAGAAATTTTACCAAAGAAGACATTCACATGGCCAACAAGCACATGAGGAAATGCTCTGCATCATTTGCCATCAGGGAAAAATACAAATCAAAACCACAGTGAGATACCACCTCACCCCATTGAGAATGGTGGAAATTAACAAGACAGGAAACCAGAAATGTTGGAGAAGATGTGGAGAAAGGGGAACCCTCTTGCACTGTTGGTGGGAATGTGAACTGGTGTAGCCATCTGGTAAAAGGTGTGGAGGTTCCTCAAGAGTTAAAAATAGAACTACCCTAAGACCCAGCAATTGCACTGCTGGGGGTTTTCCCCAAAGCTACAGATGCAGTGAAATGTTAGGACACCTGCACCCCAATGTTACAGCAGCAATGTCCACATAGCCAAACTGTGGGAGGAGTCGGTGTCCACCAAAAGATGAATGGATAGAGAAGATATGATCTATATATATAATGGAATATTACTCAGCCATCAGAAAGGACAAATGCCTACAATTTGCTCCGATTTGGATGGAACTGGAGGGTATTATGTTGAGGGACTTAAGTAAATCGGAGAAGGACAATCATTATTCGGTTTCACTCATACGGGGAATATAAAAAGTAGGGAAAGGGAGTATAGGGGAAAGGAGAGAAAATGAGTGGGAAAAATCAGAGAGGATGACGGAACATAAGAGACTCCTAACTCTGGGACATGAACAAGTGGTAGTGGAAGGGGTGGTGGGCCGGGGAATGGGGAGACTAGTTTAACGAGCACTGATGTGGGCACTTGATGAGATAAGCACTGGTGTTATACTATATGTTGGCAAACCGAACTCCAATAAAAAAATTACATAGATAAAAAATAAAAATAGTAAAAAGAAACTATTAAAAAGATAATAAAGACTTCTCAAAGGGCAGTAAACCACAAACACAAATGAAACAAGGAAGGAATCCATCAAGAGACGATGATACAAATCAATTTTAGAAAATGAGCTATAGAAGGAGAAAGGTAAATTTGCATGAAAGTCTAGATATAGAAGAATACCAGTCCTAGTGTAGAAGCACATCAATGTGTGCTGTGCCCTCCGGAAAGTGTCAGGGAAAAGAAGCACCACAGAAGTTTGGATAAAATGAGGTGATAGTGTTGCTAGCATTGGTGCATGGATGTGTGCGTATATATGCCTGTAGGTGCCCATGTGTCCATGTGTTGAAGGTACTGGGGTGGAGAGAAGTAAAATAAGTGAACAAAGTGAGAAAATTTCTGAGTCACAGAACATCCATGCATTCCATGGCCCCTTATAAGAAGCAAAGATCACTTTATAAATCTAGCAGGAATTTGGATATTGATCTTTCAGGAATAGAGAAGAGAAAAAAAAATCCCCTAATGTTGCGTATACTGAGTGTTTTGATTTTTGCTCACCAGTTTAACT